GTTTAAGAAGTAAATAAGTAAGTAAGTATAATATATTAAAAGTTATATATAATTATTATTATATTATACTTATTTACTTATTTACTTCTTAAACTAATAATAGTATATTTATTATATTAAAATATCTTATTTGAGCTAGATTTTATAAAACTAATTGCTTATTAGACTCTTTTAAAGATATAAAATAAGAATTTAAGGTAAGTAATAATTAAATTTTCTTAATAATAAATAATTACTTATTTAATAAGTTTATTATTAAGCTTAATTATAAGAAGAATATTTTAATTCTCTTATTAGTTTTATATATAAAAGTTCTTTATATAAGGCGCGTAATAATTAAATAATATATTAAAAGTTATATATAATTATTATTATATTATACTTACTTACTTATTTACTTCTTAAACTAATAATAGTATATTTATTATATTAAAATATCTTATAAAACATTTAATATTCTTAATAAATAATTATAAGTACCTTATTTTCCCTTATAAATTTATTTAAGTCTTTTTTTCTTACCTATACCTACTTAAAGCCCACGGGTAAGCAACCTACACGGGTACCCGTAGACCTTTAACACCTTAATCTAAACGCTTGTTATTACTAACCTAGGCACCGTCATGTTCTTACTCAAATGGCTTTTCCTTTCTTGCAGAGTGCTGCGTCCAAGGATGCGGCTGCAGAAGCCGCGGGATATGAACAAACGCATACATTGTTTTACAGGTGAAGCAATTGGTATCTACGTACATGCAAATCATGACTCATAATATAATACACACGAGTATTTCCTCCCGTTGGACGTTAGAAATCCTCATGCTGAACTCGCTTCAAAAGCCTGCAACCAGTCCTTGTCGAAAATGTTGGCAAACATGGCGTCCTGCTCCGCCAGCATCTCAAAGTCAGCACTTGGCGTCTGAGCCACAGCTCCGGCCTGAAGGATGGCGTGGGCAATTTTCTTCAATTGTGTTAGAATCTTTTGCCTTGGGCCAAATATCCTCGTAGTGCTTGAGGGTGCCCATGGAGACTCGGATCCGGCATCGTGCAATCTCGGCCTCGTCTGGCTCAAACGCCCTTCTGCAGGCCACCAGGTGGGCAACCGTGCAGCATGCGACGTTGCAGATGAGAAACGGGGACATTTGGGCGGCGCGCATGGGCAGCAGAATTAGACACTGATTTTGCTTTCGAATGGCGTCGAATAACTTGTCTGCGTGCTTCTGATGATCCATGATGCTGCCGATGCTGACTTCAGGGCGCAGAGGCGGGGGAGGGCTCCCGCAGTCTGACAGGGCCTCGGCCGCGTTGTAACTTGAATTTGAAAGTGGGCGGTGTAGAACTACGAGGGCGCTGGATATTTTGTTGGCCAGCTAGTAACTATGTTGATCGTGGGATTCCTTGCTTTACTCACGTATACGTCATTATGTGCGCTTGGAACATTAGCTGATCCATGGCGTCCTGCTGGACTGGGAGGTTCCGCTTTGAAGACGGCAGCATGATGGACCAGGAGGCTATTTCGGCTTCCATATTGCCGCAGATAATCTCTGACTGGGAAATTCCCGAATACTGTGTGGAGGAGCGTATGGCCTTGACGTATATGCGATTGGCATCGACCAGGTAGGTAAAGGAAGAGAATGTCTTGTCGCCCAATGCATACTCACGGCACTGGTAGTCCGACATGGTCGACGCAGTAGGCGGTATTGTCTGAGTTGCCAAGTCAGCGTGAGTTGGCGCACCAAGTCCGCGCTGTTGTGCTCACCAATTGGTCGTAAGAGTCATCCTCACAAGGCAGGTCCACGCTGTTCTCAGCACCTATTAATGCCGTCTTGAAGTCTCGACGGATGATGCAGTAATGGGCATCAACCACGTAGACCATCCACCAGGTCCGACGCCGACTCTCGGCAAGAACTGGATCGATTTCCATTTCTGCGTCCGCAAAGCTCTTCCTATTCATGCCAATGAGTCGTGCTTGGGCCAATGAATAATTTTTCGGCTTCAGGAGCCTCGTCACACGTGCTGTCAGCCAGGGACATGAGCAGAGTGGATTGGGGAGTAAAGCCGTCGACGGCAACCTCTGAATTGTAAACGCTTGCCCGGAGGTTGTGTGGACGAGTGACCGGGTCCCTGTAGCGGGAACCAATGTACTGCATCACATTGACTAGTAGCCGAAGACTTGGTAGGTCATCCAAGACGCTCAGCTTGGCCTGAAGGGCTCGCTGAGGCAGTACAAGCGGGTGACTTGGGTGGAAATACTCATAATACAAGTCTAAAAGTGAAGCGTCTCTATCCGACCAAGATCTGACGGTCAATGCCGAGGGTGACTGTGAAGAATCGGAGCCCAGGGAAGCATCGCTGCCGACGTTTGAAGCTGTATTTGTTGGAGTGAGGACCTGAAGTGGACGAGAAGACGACGCAATGGCGGCGGTGATGGCAGCATCGGTTGCGGCGGCCCGCTTCTACATTCTGAATTTTATGCTTCTTCTCGATTCGGGATACGAGCAAGCTCTTGAGAGGGAGCGGCATCGGCCACAGACTGGACGTCGAGCATCACAACGGAGGTGTTGGTTTCGGCGTGCGCTGCAGGCGACCGAGACTCTGGGCATGGCTCGGTGTTCCATGGCGGGTAAGAAATGTGCGCTACGCGTGTAGCGACAAGCGGTAATGCTACATGCAACGCACGCAGGTGTCCACTGGTGAGACTTGGTCTACAAGTGAGAGGGAGAGCGAAAGGATGGATGAGTCAAGCGCGGCGCATCAATAAAAGAGGCGAGAGCTGCAGAGCAGGCCGACCAGACGGCGATTGACGGTTGGTGCTGACATCCAGTCAATTGATGTATGGAAGGTGCGGCTCGGGGTGCGCCTGCTTCAATTGCGGACAACTTGAAACATTACACTTGACTTCATGTCGGAATCGCGAGCACTTGAGAGGAATCAATTGATGGCATCGGCATTCGCCTACTTGCGCCCGGTTTATCTATTCCGTGCCGTCATCAACTACAGATATTGTGCCTCTTGAGACAAGACGGATTCCTTCAGCGTCCGGCATATCGTCACCAACTCCTCCTCCGTGACCGTGTAGGGCGGCGCCAACAGCACATGATCGCCCTTGACGCCATCCACTGTCCCAGCACCCGGATACACAGCGACGCCCTTTTCAAAAGAAGCCTGCGTCACCTTGGCGCCAAACCCGATGGAAGGATCAAAGCACTCCTTCGTGGCGCCGTCCCTGACAAATTCCACTGCCCAGAACAGCCCGCGGCCCCGGATATCGCCCACAGATTTGCACTCGGCCAGCTCTGACCGAAGCAGTTTCTCCAGAACAACACCCATCTCCCGACACCTGTCGACAAGGCCGTCCCCCTTCAGGATCTTCTGCACGGCCAAGGCGGCGGCGCAAGACACCGGGTGAGCCTGGTACGTGTGGCCGTGGTTGAGGGCCTGGCTTCCCTGCCGAAGGGCATCAATGACCCTGCCGTGGACATACAAGCCGGCAATGGCAGCGTAACCGCCTCCCAGGCCCTTGGCAGCCGTGACAATGTCCGGTACAACATGTTCCTGCTCAAACGCAAAGAAGGTGCCCGTCCTCCCGGTGCCGCACATGACTTCATCCAAGATCAGAAGAATGCCGTACTTGTCGCACACCTTTCGCACACCGGCAAGATATCCCGCCGGCGGAACGACGCAGCCGGCCGTCGCGCCAATGATGGGCTCGGCAATGAAAGCAATCACCTTGCTGGGACCGACCCTCAAAAACTCGTCCTCCAGTTCCCGCAATAGTCTGTCCGTAAACTGCGCGTCCGTCTCGCCGTCCATCTTGTACCGGTATGCATACGGCGGCGTGACATGCGACACGTGCGGATACTCAAACCCCTTGTAGGGGACTTTTCTCGCCAAATTCGACGACACAGACATGGAGGCCATCGTATTCCCGTGGTAGCTCTGCTTCCGAGAAACAAAGTGCATCCTGTCCGCGTCGTTCCTCTCAAAGTGATATTGGCGCGCCAACTTCATCGCAGCCTCCACGACCTCGCTCCCGCCTCCCAGGAAAAGCGCCTTCTCGAGCCCATGCGGCGTTCCGTCAAGAATAAGATCAGCCAACTCCTCGGCGACGGGAGTGCTGTACGACTGCGTATGGACGTAGCTGACTTTCTGGGCCTGCTTGATCATGGCATTTTGCACTTCTTGGTTGCCGTGGCCGATGATTGCCACGGCGGCACCTCCACAAGCATCCGTCGCAGCCCGGCCGTTGGAGAGGTGTAGGTGCATCCGGACGCGGATTCCACCATGTGTGGCGGGTTCGCCAGCGATCTATGCAAAAGATGACTACTGTGTTTTGCAGCGGTGGCCGTTTCGCTGTTGATTGGTGTTGCGGTGCAATGGGGAGTTATGGTACAGGTCAACATAACACGCAATATCTATAATGGTTCAACCTTATTTTCTCTATAGGCCGAGCCCAAGTGTTGACTTTATGCAAGGTTATCCCAAAAATGGAGTCGAGGTGTAACACCATCTCGCAGTTTACATTCACACTCTAATCCAAAAAAACACCCCCCTCCAGAGCCGAAATCCGACGTCAATCAAAGGGCGTGTGTCAATTGACAGAAATGTCAAACCTCTCAATGCGACTGTTTCCATATGACTAGTGTCTTGGCTGGATTTCACCCTGGTCTCGGTATCGGCCTTACAGCTAGCCTTTGCTCATCTCAAAGCTGAGGCGACAGCCCGAGATGGATCTCTTCAAGGCCACTTTGATAGCGGATAATACTTCTATAGCAACAACGCCCCACCATCACCGACTTCCATGACAATAGTACCCACACGATGGAAGAGCAAGACGTGAAAAAAACGGACCAGAAATGGAGTCATATAGCTGTCAACGCATCGGATTAGAAGCACAAATCAAATCAAATTATATATAATAAACAGCCGACTTCTGAGCTTTCTTCTCTTTTTTCCAAAAAGTACGACTTTTCCTTACTCGATGTCCAAGACGCGGCTTTTCGAGGGTCCGAGACAGACAGCTAACATGGCATCGACATCCGAGAAGCCGCCAACCACACCCGGCTCGTCGGCCCCGGATACCGGCGAGGAATCAGGCCCCGAGCAGTGTATCCCGCCCAAGGATGACGCTCACCTCGACACCTGGCGGGGATGGGTGGTGGTGGCCGCCGCGTCAATGTCTCTCTTCATTTACATGGGCGTCGTATACAGCTGGGGCATATTGCAGGCGAAAATGGCCAACACAAAAGGCTACCCGCTGACGACGCTTACATTCGTCGGATCACTAGCCACGTCGTTCATGGTATCGCTGTGTATACTGGTGGGAAAACTGGTTAGGAAGTTTGGCTACAGGAGGACGGCCTTGGTGGGCGCCGTGTTTCTGGGACTGGGCGAGTTTCTGTCGAGTTGGGTCGTGGGCCATTTGTCGGCCTTGTTTATTACACATGGGATATTATTTGGTGTCGGAGGAGGTTTAACGATTCTGGTATGTTGGTTGTTTTTATATGAGGGCGAGTGTGCCTTTCTTACTAACTGCCTGCAAGCCTTGCACGACCGCGCCGCTGCAGTGGTTCCGCAGGTATCGTGGACTTGCGACGGGCATTGTCTTTGGTGGAGGGAGCCTTGGTGCTGCCGTCATGGGCGTTGCCGCCAACGAACTTGTCAACAAGGTTGGGATCGAGTGGACGTTTAGAATCTTGGGCTTTGTGCTGTGGGCGGTCTGTCTTCCGGCCGCGTACTGCATCAAGCAGCCCTTGCTGTCCAAGTCTGCCGTTCCGCAGCTCCAGTGGTACGCTAGATGCCGCGTTGAAAAACATGACTTCTACTTCATTCAACTAACAAGGTGGCCAGGTATCGATGGCGGGAGCCCAAGTTCGTCCTTTTCATCCTCGGCGGAGCCATTGCATGCTTCCCTCTCTTCGTCCCGCCGTACTTTATTCCCATCTTCGCTCAATCAGTCGGCAGCTCCGGCTCAACAGCCATCGTTGCCCTTACGATATGGAATCTTGCATCGACGTTTGGTCGCGTGTTTGCCGGGTATTCTGCCGATGCATTCCTCGGACCACTCAACAGCCTCAATATTTCGCTCTTGTTCTGCGGCGTGAGTGCATTGGCAATTTGGCCGCTTGTGACAAACATGGGCCTGTTGGTTTTCTTCACCATCGTCAACGGCGTTGGCTGCGGCTCCTTTTTCAGTCTGTTCCCTCTGGCGGTGGCAACTACTTTTGGGGCTCCCAATACCATGGGCATTTTGCCCATTCTGTGGCAAGCGTGGGTTTTCGGCTATTTTCTGGTAAATACAAACCCGAATCATGAGCGAAGAGCCTTTTTTTTTCTGCGAGAATGCTAACATCGGCAATAGGGCACACCAATTGCTGCGAGATTGTACTCCCTGGCGGGAACTGGAACTGATGTCAGCCTCTACCGACCGGCTGCGTACTATGCCGGTGCTGCGTCTTTTGTCGGCATGCTCTTCATGGTTGCTATTCGTCTGATGAACTCGAAAAACATTCTCACAAAAGTGTGAATTTTGCAAGGGAAGATAATGACTCTGATGACTTGACATGGACGCATTTGTTAGCGGTGACGAGAGAAGACATCATATAAGGAGCATTATTAGGCGTATTGGTTTCCACATAGGAATAGTGATTAAAAAAAGAAGAACTTACTACATTCAGGGCGCCATTGGCATTGAATGCCCGGTTGATTCAAGATCTACCTGTTCAATTGCCGGCCACCATTGAGACCACGCCCCCTGCTCTTCCAGGTTGTTACTAACTTCGGCAAACAGCTGGTTCAACAAGGTATTAGTGTCGAGTTCATGTTCTGGAATCGCCCCCGGCGTGTAAGGAGACGTCTCCGGCGCCAAGGGCCGTTCTGCGCCGCGAATCTCCCGACTATGTTCGTCGGATCTATCCACAATGCGGAACTCGTGAACCGACTGATGAAGCGTGTCAAAGTCTGCCCGACTCCGTCCTTGGTATCGTGTGCGGTCTTCCGTAGCCCGTTCATAGAGCACAGACGCATGATGTATCGTCTTGATCTAAAACTCCTCACATCAGCGCGCCAAATGGCTATGGGTGTGTTGCGAGAGCCGTACCCATCCGTCTGCAATATTCCAGACATGTCGAAACTTTTCCAAATAGTCCAGACACATTTTGAGACAATCCTTTGCTCGCGGGCTGCGGTCAAGGTTCATGCGTGGATACTTGGACACGTAAAGATTGAGGTAGCCGGCTGAGAATGCACAAAACCCAGTAAAGGGCGTCATGAGATGCACGCCACACTCAGACGCCTCGTGCAACACGGTGGCAATGTGCTCTGCTGCGCCAAAGAGAAGTCGTGAGCTCTCGTTCCACCAGCCTTCCGGGGCGGGCGCTTCCAACATGGGTTGGTCCACGGGGCCACGCGGCTCCGACTCCGGTGTCGGCAGGAAGGGGAAGTATTCACGATGAAGCATGAGGGTGCTGCAGTGGTGTAAGTCCGGAAGACGTTTCGATGCCGTTTACCATTATAGGAGGAGACACGTACCTCACGTAGTACAGGAGGTTTAGGTAGACAAACGTCTCGCCAAACCCGAGCGTCATGTGGACGGCCACCGAGTTACCGGGATAGTGAAGCTTGCGATGCTGGCCTGCTCGCCAAGCCTCCAACTGACTTCGGGATTGTGACCACGGAGAACCCGGGACCCAAGGACAATTCTGCGGTGCACACATACCCGGTGCGCGGCGCCCGTCGTTGAAGATGAAGGTCATGACCTGCGCCCATATATCGAAGCCGCCTACCAGAATCTCGAAGCTCTGCGTCACATCGAGCACGCCCGTCGACTGGCCTGCCAGCGAGTGATGGCCGCCCACGGCCTGCGGCGGTGCGTCGGGCCCAAAGGCAAATTCCACAGCGCTCAGCGGCCGGGCAATCCTCATCTTTTCCATTTCCGACATGGGAAGCATGGGAGGCGTGTACGTGCCCGAGTTGACCATGCAGTCCATGATGAAGCACGCCCAGTAGGTTCTGGTTTCCACGGCCAGCGAAACAGAGTCATGCCGTCGCTCGGATGTCATGTCGAGCGGGTAGGGTGCTGCTCGCAAGCTGTGTAGTGCTTGCATTATGCGAATGGCAATTCCTGATTATCGTTTCAACGCCTGTGATACTTGAGGGAAGAAGAGACAAGAAGGGCAGTTACTCACCACAATACACCCATGCCTTGTGAAAGTCTCTGGTCCCCCATTCGTGAAGAGTGATGATCAACAAGGCTTGAACAATCTGCACTTTGGGTGGCTGCAAAATGAACTCGGACAGCACGTCCCTTGTATACAGAGCATAGTGCTCCCGCGACAACAGCTCATCGGCCCAAGAGGCGCTTTGCACGGATAACTGCGCCTTGGTCGCTGCCAAGACGGCACCGAGTAGAACCTTGCTTTCGGGCACGCGCTCCGCATGGAGCTCCGTGATGAAAGTGGGAAGGTGTAATATGGCAAGCTCCGGAAAGGTGTTGATGAAAAGATTGACGGCCTGAAGAATCACGCTGTTGGAAAGATTGTCAATGTGGGAGCTCACGACTTGCTTGGTGTAGTCAGACGGGGGCAACGGCTGCTGCCTCGCCTGGGCTCGATGCCGCGTGGGAGATTCGCTTTGAGTATGTTGGCGACGGGCGGCATCAGGAGAGGCGCGCGGCGCGGTGAGTATAGTGTCATCAATTTGTCGGGGATTTCGCGTTCCCCTTGCTGGGGCTCCAACATCTTTACGTCTCGCCTTGCTGCTACGTGGTGTTCTTGACACCGGTCGGGTTAGGACGCAATCTCTGTTTCCTAGCTTGCGACATCTTTGGCACGGCGCGGTTCCCTCGTGTATGCACTTGAGTTTGGATCGCCTGCATCTCACGCTGTTAAAGGAGCTGGTCTATCTGGGTTGATGAGATGCACTTGCCTGCATGCATCGCACGAGAGGCTGGATCGCATTGCTGGTCCGTCACGGGTCGGGTCTTGGATGCGGCGGAGCGTTGAGCCTCTGGGTTCGGGAATGGAGACGAAGGAAAAATCAAACCAGAGCCGATGACCTGGTTCCGAATGGGTACGGTCACAAATGCACATGAAGACCCACATTTCGCATTTCGGCTATATTTGAGCCTCTGTGTATAAACTAGCATAAATAATGTCAAGTGCCAAGACTCGTCTTTACTTTACTTGACCTCTCATGGAGAAGTACCCTTTCGGCTGGGGGTGCATCATGCAAAGATCAAGTCCTGGCCACTCTGTATGCATGGCTCAAGGACGGGCCGGGAGTTTATACTCTGACAAGCACAAAGGAGTAGGCGAAGACAGTAATCGTCTTTTCCCGGCTGTGAACAGTTTAATGCGACTTACTATCATGAAGTGGCTTGGAAGCCGGGCTATAAACAGAGGGCAAGCTATATCTTACGATTCATTGAACGAAATGAGACGTGGAATTTGTCTCAATTTTACGCTAGGGCTCGATTTACTTTCGTGGCATGAATATTATTTGCCCTTGATAGTGTGGTTATTCTTTAAAAGCATCCATGTAACAAGGCACGCATGCAAGGTTGCATTGCTCTTCGCAAGGCGGCAGACAAGCCAACGTGGCCTTTACTTATTCCAAGTCGTTGGGATCACTACAAATAGTAGCTCCTAGTTTCTGTAACACAGGCAGTGCTCTTCCATGCCCGTGGTTGTCGGAAAATTGTCATACTCGTTCATTTGTGCCTGGGTAGGCTGGGGGGACCTAAACACTGTCTGCACTAAGCCACTCGAGCATCGTCTGTGACAAGGGCAGGTCAACTGGGCTTGGAACATGAGGTTCAATTCTGATTCAATAATCGGCTTTAAGGTATCAAAGATCCTTGGTTTTCCAAGAGGCCTTGGGGGACTAGAGGTCTCTATATATACAAGAAGTCGGTAAGCTCTGGCGGCCTGAGGCAGCCCTTGCCAATGTCCGACTCCGGGGCTCTCGTGATACCTTTCTTTGTTGTTATGTAACCTTTGATATCCGATACCTTTGTCCAGGCCTTGGCCGTGTGATATCGTCGGTAATGTGGTGCCCGTTAATTGTTAAATCCTGTGCCTGGCTTGACACGTCAATGTGGAAAAGCGCAATTTCCGAGTCACCGAATATGTAATGTGAGAAGTGAATGACGGCTGGTGGGTATGACTTGTTTCAAAAAGTCGAAACGGCGTGAACTGAATACTTGTTGTAGCGTCAGCCCTCGTTTCCCGAGTGCTTTTCGGACCTGCTGCAGCTGTGTCAAAGACAACTTGAGTCAGGAAGAAGGACAGTACAGGTTCCGAATTGTTGCTGCATTTTGCATCTTGGAGAGGCGGCTGCCTGGACAGTGCTTGCTTTTGGGGAGCAAAGAATTCATTCATTCATAATGATGGGCCAAGAAGACTATTTTCGGGTGTACAGAAGCTCTGTCACCTTTTTTTTACTGTTCATAATAAATACATGCCGAGTTCTCTTAGGGCACACGTCCATAATCATTATTAAACAACCTTCGAACCCCATCTAAACATGATGTCTACAAGCCGCGGACAAAGGCGGGCTCACGTGAATACTGAATCACAATGCCAAGTGTCTGAAACGAAGGAGCATCCGCGTTCCTTTGTTCGGCTTGTGAATATGTGATCCTCGTGACGCATTTCGATTTTTTGTTTACTTTGGACAGAGGATGCCGATTCTTGCTCGGATGTAATGGTAATCATGACACTAAACTCGATCCCAATTACTTTCGCGACCTATCTAATAGTGTATGCACAACCACCGGGCTCTTTTGCCATATGAATGAGACAGTAGGGAATGGTATATTGAAGCCAAAGAAAACGAGACGTACGAGTTCTGAACATTTCTCGAACCTGCATCTACACATACGCCACACAAGGAGTCAGTGCGTCAAACGAAGAGTCTCTGCTCTAGTGCAGCACAACTTAGCTTTTTGCGTTAACATCAAGTACTTGTCCACTGTTCTGTCACAACCCTGAGCCCAAGTCTTTCCCTTCAAAGTGTTTGAACTACCTCTAGAGTTATCAATCTACCTTTGCTTACTAATGCGAGTGATTTGTATATGAAACACGATTGAATTTTTCGAAGCTATTTTTTGAAAGCGCCTAACAATGGCTATAGATAGACTTGGAGGTTAATTCAACACCACAACCACAAGTAACAGGCTTGAAAAGGCAGTAACGCAGTTTCCTGGAGTCAAAAACTCTCTAAATTTGTATGACTATTCAAGTACCTATGTAGGTTGATTGTTAATATTTGTAGGCGATTCGCGATACTATTGCTGGGGTGTTTAGTGATACCTGTGGGGCTGGCAGCAAGTATCGGCCAAGAAAAATGGACTAGTTGCCCCCTTGAAAATCTTATTGGAGCGGTCCATGCCGGGACCCAGTTTCCTAAAAGGGTAAGAATAGATCCGAAAGACGAAAGGAACTGCATCCTTGGACTTAAAGCGTCGTTGCAAATTTCTACCGATTTCGTGATATGAGCATTGAACCTCTATGAGAATTTTCAGAG